TTTTTACAGATTATTTCTATCGCAAATACAAATAAAGTTATAAATTTTTAAAGTGCGCACGAACTTTATGGACACCCTGTATAATAAAAAATATGTCACAAACAAAGCAAGATTGTACGCTATGTATTCGCAGGTATTTAAACTTCCGCGCCTACTTGATTATAGTGTTCCCGACCTTCAGATCACATTTAGGGCTCCACCTTTTACTGATGACCATGCAGTCTGTCTTCTTGTATTTTATGCTTAGTCCTTTCTTCTCACTCTGCGTCGCTACCTTCTGTAGGAGATTTTGTAATTTCATTTCCGTGTCTGCTATCAGTACTGAGTCATCTGCGTATCTTATGTTGTTAAGATTGTGGCTGCTAAATCACTGTAGGGTTTAAAATTCTCTTAGGATTGCCTCACTGTACAGGTGGAATAGGTCGGGTGTGAAGACGCATCTTTGCTTTACGCCCCTTTCTATTTTTGTGTTCACTGTATTCGTTTCCTCTGTGAATATTTCTGAGATGTGCTATTGTAACTATTTACACTATTTGCATTATTCGGACTGTTGTCCTCATCCTTATAGCTACAGGGTGGGGCAGAGCAACTTGCTTATTTGGAATATCAATTAAAGCACAAGTAATGCAGGTATACATTTAATTCTTTGAACTGCAACTAGTTCAACATTTAAATTTTATTTTATTACCAGTTTTAAAGAGGATATCAGTAAGATGGCGTCCATTCTTCTCTATACACTGAGTCAATGTTTTGGGGTGACCTTGCTGTTCGTGGGAGGCCAGGTTTCTTTTTCTTTACATCACCCGTTTCCCTGAAGTTGTTTACCCATGAAACAATCGACTTCCGGCCAGGAAAACGACCTCGGGGGCAATATTGAAATGTCTACGGAATGTACGTTGCGTTGCGAGGATTGAGCGACCGCTTGAAAAAAAAATGCCTCAACAGCGAAAGCGCGTTCCAACTTCGTCCACTCCATGATGCTCACTGGGGTTCCTGAAAAATAAATAACGCACGTTAAGAACCAAACTTTAAGCCCCACCCTCTCAAATAAATCCATCCCTACCATCCTTGGAACAACCATCGCTTTAGGGCGCCAAATTTAAATAAGCAAGTTGCTCTGCCCCACCCTGTATATTCACGACACGAACAAAATAAACTACGAAATCTCCACAAATATTCTTAAATGCCTATAAGTGATACCTGAAGCCATTGGTTTATGCCAACGGCTTCCCATACTTAATTCTTCTCGTTTTCACTCTCTCGTGGTCATGTGTGACGTCCCGAGCTGCGACGCGATGTTCGCTTCCGCGTCTCGTATACACGATTTAGTCGTTGCTTTGAAATTTTTCATGCAACAAAACAGATTATCATTATTGTTTCGTCCGTGTATTTGTTGATATATTGAAAAGTAATTGTCATCTTTGATAATGGCTTATGTAAGCTGAAAGCTTAGATTGGATTTAAACAAGTATCGATATGGTGATTTCCTTTCGTCTTTCAATGATAATGTTATTAAGCTTATCAGACAACATGAAAGGAACTTACTTAAAATAAATAGACAAAATTATTATTATTTAATGAAACATGCATTAATATATATATCTATACACACACACACACACACACACACATATATATATATATATATATATATATATATATATATATATATATATATATATATATATACAAATAAAGAGAAAGAACAGACACATTAAGAACCCACAGTTCTTAGCATTAACTTTTGTAAAAGTGCCGTGCCCAATACAACGTAGAGCAAAATATTATTATATTTTTATCATTATGTAAAATATTTTATTATTATTATTTTTTATAAAAATATATTATTATAACATATATATATATATATATATATATATATATATATATATATATATATATATAATAATTGAGCAAGCAAACAAAACAAATGTAAATGAGCAGTTTTTCTCGATCTCCTAGAATCTGACGAAGCCAAAATAAAAGTGAAATATGTTAGATTGATAAATATTTCAAATTAGTTATATATATATATATATATATATATATATATATATATATATATAGAGAGAGAGAGAGAGAGAGAGAGAGAGAGATTCAATTACAAACCCGAGAAATTTTGAGTTGTAGACTCAAGTATAAATTCGACCACTGCTTACCTATAGACTCAAGTATAAATTCGAGCACTTCTTACCTATAGGCTCAAATATGAATTCGACCACTGCTTACCTATAGACTCAAGTATAAATTCGAACACTTCTTATCTATAGACTCAAGTATATATTCGACCACTGCTTACCTATAGACTGAAGTATAAATCTATGTAGTCCCGATTACAGTTGCAACTTATATTTATCTACAGAATCAAAAACTATATTTTACCTATAGACACAAGTGAACTCGTAAATCCTGTTTATTTACAGACATAATAATAACCCGACCAATGTTTACCTATAGGTCAATACATACCTATAGACTCAACTATAAACACAATAAATATTTATCGATAGATACAAGTACAAATACAATCAAAGTTTACATATATATTTCTTAATGTGTCTACAAGTATCAACGAGACCAATGTTTACCCGTAGTATCAAGTATAATTCCGACCAATGTTTACCTATATACAACATGCGACAATGCGACAAGTATTTATCTAACGACGCAAGTATAAATTTAACTAATATCTTGATTTCAATCATTTTCGCATGACCATAACGTATCTTTCCAATGTCTTTCCACAAATAATTCCATGACAATTTTACTTGTGAGACTTTCTCTTCGCTATTTCGAATTCATGAATTTAAGTGCAGTACTAGATTAATAGGTGCATCGCATCAAATTAATGATGAAATTGCGAAATGTAACTTGCATCTATCACTAATGGAACTCTCGATTAGCCTCTTCATTCCCTGTCAACTACAATTTTAAAAAAATGTAAATCCAACGTCAGTCATCATAATCTGTCCACTTGAATCCTTTTCTATTTAATGGCCTTTCTCCTCACTAATGCTTTTCTAATTTCCCTCACTCTATCGTCTTTCATCCCCAGTAACCCCTTCGAGTTGTTTGAGCTGAAATTATTAAAAAGAATACGGAAACAAGAGTTGATATGTCGTAAAATCCAGCAACTCGATTCATCTCACGTCAGAGTTAAATTGTCTATTTACTTAAAGTGTCTCTGCATTTAGAATATTAGAATAAATTAACAAATGAAACGAGCAGACGACAATGTTGCATCCCCGTCAAGAGCATTCCAACTTACTATCGATAGTAGCTATGAAGTCAATTTTAAAAATAAATTCTGTCAACGAAAATATACACTTACAGAAAAAGGCCCTGTTTATAAAGAAAGAATTTAATAAATTTATATCTTCGCCTCTCTTAGAGTGTCAACCAATTCAGATGAATAAAAAATTAATTTAGTTTACAAGAATCTGATTGCGAGACATCATTGTAAGACAAATACGTAGTCTTTTTCTGGTAAAAACGTTATATCGTTCATATATATTCAATGTCTGTTGTTATGTTAGGTACAAAATATGTTACGCTTTAAAAAATGTTTCCTTATACAGAGGGTAAATTTTCGTGCATCTCATGGAGGAATCTATAATATTCGTAAACAAATCTGGGATATTGTTGATTTGTTGTTGAGTTCCTTTCTTCATCAAACTCAAACACCAACCACAACAGGAGCAATTTTTAGTTTTTAAGTGTCACATTTATGACATTTATCGTATTTTATCGAACTAAAGTGTTTTTACGTCGATGTGATTACACGTGGTTACGATGAAATTTTCAATTGAAATCATTTTTTTTAAAATACGTATTTCTGTATATAGTCGAACCGGTTTAATTTAGTTAACTTTTTTTGTAATTTTTTATCGATTTTGTACATAATTTACATTATTCGGACGCGTGGCACAGTGGATAAAGGCGTTGGCTAGATCCAGTGACAGGACCCAAAGACTGTGAGTTCAATACCCAGTTAAGGCCTTAACTTTCGGAAGGGAAATTAACAGGAGATAACTAACATCCATTAAACATGGCACGTGGAACTAGAACAGTCTAACCCAGTGAGCGAAATAAAGGGTTCAGTTCGACATTGAAGAAGGCCGGAGCGTACAACGGCCGAAACGTTGTAATAAATATGGCAACAAAGATGAGGACAATAGTCCGAATAATGTACATAATACCTCATCTCAGAAATATTGACAGATATTCATCGATTTTGTTATTAAATATCGGACATTCTGATAATAGAAGATCTTATAATATAGGTAAAAAGTTCTATGATTCTGGTAATGGTAAATACGTTAATAAAAGGTCATTTTCCTTCATTTTTTGTAGAATAAAATTAATAAACAAAAACGGAAATTATTTATCACTCAAACCATTGATACATTCTAGTTTGAATTTAGAATGCAGAACTCAGAAACGGAAGTGGATGACCGGAAATATATTTTAAGAGTAGGGAACGGAAAATGGTTGTATATTTTATAAAGTATCAACCAGGTCAAGACTAGACTCTTAAATAAAAGGCAAACTGGTGCCAAAAGAAATCCAAGTCTTTAAAAAAATATATTCGTTCCCGTAAATTCTTCTTTCGTTCATCATGAACGTTGCCTAGAAGAAAAGACGAGGATCTAAAACTTGTGGCATTATACATCACAAGAAACGGTGTAACACAGAAAATGGTTTTTAAAAAAATCACCAAAATAAAATAAAAAATCGGAAAAAAGCGTCCAAAGAAAAAAGTTGTAAAAACACCAAAAGCCAATCATTACGGGTTTTTCTTTTAGATTTCGTTGAATTTTTTTCGCTTTCTCTTCAGACAAAAATCGTCCAAATCCTTCTCTTCATGATTACGACTTTTGCACGCTGCAATTAACTTTTAAAAGAAGCGTTTGAAAGTGACAGGCTTTAAGATTTTGCTTTCAAATAGAAGAAGAAAATCTGATAACAAAAGTGGGATAAAAATATTTAGAAAAAAATAAATGTTCTTTTCTTGCTTATTATCGATCAGTGTGGCACAGTCACACCAAGAATCAATTTCATTCTATTATCTATCTATTCATCTATCTATCTATCTATCTATCTATCTATCTATCTATCTCGATCTTTTCACATCTATCTATCTATCTCGATCTTTTCATATGTATCTATGTACCTATCTCGATCTTTTCATATCTATCTTTCACATTTATCTATCTTACTTGATCTTTTTTAAATCTATCGATCTATCTATCTATCTATATATATATATATATATATATATATATATATATATATATATATATATATATATATATATATATATATCGATCTTTTCACATCTATCTATCTACCTATCTCGATCTTTTCATATCTATCTATCTCGATCAATTCAGATCTATCTATATCGATCTTTTCACATCTATCTATCTGTCTATCTATCTCGATTTTTCATATCTATCTATGTTTTATATCTATCTCGATCTTTTCATATCTATCTATGTTTTATATCTATCTTGATCTTTTCACAACTATCTATCTGTCTATCTATCTCCATCTTTTCATATCTATCTATCTCTTTTCATATTTATCTATCACGAACTTTTCATATCTACCTATCTATCTCGATCTTTTCATAACTATCTATCGATCTTTTCATATCTATCTATCTATCTATCTTTTATATCTATCTCGACCATTTCATATCTATCTATCTCGATCATTTCATATCTACCTATCTCTATCTTTTCATATCTATTTTTCTATCTCCATCTTTTCACAAATATCTATTCTAATCTCTAATTATCACACGCATTCGATAATTCATTTACTATATTTACATTACCGACTAAAATGTGTTCCTTTACTTTCGATGAAAAGCATCGAATAGTTTTTTGTTTTTTTTCTCCTCACCAGAAATATCGATTATTCTGATGAGTAAAAACTGGTCGCAAGATAATTTCATAATATGAATAATAGGCGAATCTTCTTGCGATAAACACGGAAACAATCCGATGATAAGCAATTCAATTTTTCTCAAGGTGAAATAGGAAGACGCACATGTCACACTTCAAAACTACAGACGCCAATGAAAAATATTTCCCGTCTACGTACACTGGTATTATTCCCAAATCCTATTTTTCATTGATGGAGACTGTATTATCTCGCTTCTCTCATCTTTTTTTTATCTTGTTGCTTTGAATGGCCAGACTGTGATTTTCAAAAACAAGTACCCCTTCGAATTTCCGGAAATATCTTCATTTTGTTGTACGTTAACGTAAGATTCGAATCAAGCGCTAAGGTCATGAGCACGACTATAGTCAGGAAATCGCGTATTTCATACAAAAAGACATCCGCACGACGAGCGATTAGTAAAAATTTGTCCTGGAGAAATTTCAGAGGGGGGAAAATATTGCATTTATAGAAACATATACATTTTGGTTTTATTAAAATTCATCCAATACAAGACTCAAGCGCCAATCAAGGTAGAGATTTACGCAATGACGTGTGTAATATGAATGTAAGATGATGATATGGCGGATAGATAGCGATTGATCCTTGAATATGTTCCAATCGTAGCGTTAAGTGGAGCATCAATACGGAAGACTGTTCCACATTGTAGCAGTTCTCGAGGAAACAAAGCTGTCCTTACAAATAGAATACAGTAGGAAATATGGGTAATTCAGCTTGGTAAAAGTCTGAACTGGTGGCGACTCAAACGTCTGTGGAAAGTGGGTCCTAAGAATGATGATAAAATCAGTGAATCAGCAGAAAGTAGTTGACAGTAGTTCAGGAGTCATGACTTCTTACTAACGGACTTTCAAATGTCTATGTCATTGAAAAAGTCACTGTAAGAACAATAGTTCTTCAATTATGGTAGAAGTGAATAACACAACTCACACGTGGAGAAGAAAGCAACTAATAACATTTTATAAGGTAGTTATATAGGTTTCATAAACTATGCAAAGGCCTTCGACAAAGTACGCCACAAGGATCTGCTGGAACTTCTCAGTAATCTTGGTATATTCGGGGAAAAATATCGGAATAATCAAGAATCTATACTGGCAGCAAACAGCATGCATACAAATAGGGAACGAGTTCAGTGAATATACAAAAATAGAAAGAGGCGTAAGGCAAGGATGTGTCTTCTCACCCGATCTGTTCAACCTATACGGCGAGGCAACCCTGAGAGAATTGGAAACCCTACTGGGATTTAGCATTGGCGGCCATAATCTTAACATAAGATGCGCAGATGACACAGTACTGATAGCAGACACGGAAAAGAAATTACAAAATCCCCTACAGAAGATAGCGACAGAGAGTGTGAAGAAGGGACTAAGCATAAACTATAAAAACAGAATGCATGGTCATCAGTAAAAGGATGAGCCCAAAGTGCGATTTGAAGGTGGGTATTGTGAAACCGGAAACTACCTACACAATAGACTCTTCCAGGCCTATATTAAGTAGGCGACATAGCACTCTAGAGAGTGACAGAGAGTGACACAGAGAGACAGTGACAGCCGCGTACGACTACCAGTATTGGACACTAACATATAGTAAGCTCCGCTTACACTATCTCGGTAACATGTTAATATATCTTTCTTACATCTAATCCGTGTTCCGTGTTTTCCTTCTGTGGTCCCAACTTTGGCCCCACATCAGTGGGGGACACTAGAATCAAGAAGACGCGAAAGTTTAAATATCTGGGAAGCGTTCCGACAGAGGACGGTAAATGAAACACTGAGATCCGTAGACGTACTGGGATGGCCAAGGACGCATATCAAAAGCTGAGTATTGCGAGACAGAAGAATTTCTTTGGTAACGAAGAAAAGAATACTGAGCTGTTACGTGACATCTGCTCTTCTTTATTGCAGCGAATGTTGGTCGATTTCCTCAAAGATGCGACGGAGATGTCGTTCTACAGAAGGATGCTAAGGATATCATTGACCGAGCGTGTGAGCCACGATGAGGTCTTAGAGAAGACGCAAACAAGGAAGAGGCTTATACTTAACATCAGGAAGAGGCAACTGAAGTATCTGGGACATATAATGAGGAAGGAGAGCCTGGAGAATCTGATACTCACGGGTCGAATATGAAGACGATGCTGGGAACTAGATTGGAATCATGAGATTTTGTATTCATCTTTGTTGGCTTCTACTCTTAAATCATTCGTAATTTAAACTACATTATTCTGGTGTCTGTTTTAATTGACGCCTTTGTTTCCAGCTGTTGTAACCATTTGGTTTAATGTTGGTTTTATTGATTTCAGATAAAAGCTTTTCATATTCCAACATATTTCAATGAGATTTTCACTTTGCAAAACTATAGTTTACAATTAAAGTTTAGATGTATGAGAAAAGGGAGTGCATCAGTTTAACTCGATAACAGAAAGATAATAGTTAAAAAAAAAAAAAAAAGAACATTCATTACCTTGCGACCGATATTCGTATATGGGAAAAAAGTTGTATTCCTTGAAACTATTTATAGAAAGAAATCATTAACTCTTCTTATTTATATTTCATTTAAATACAATTGAAGCTACATAAATAATTATTTAAGTAATTAACAGTGATTCGGGTATAACTCTCTTCTAACGACGCTGTTAGTACAGTACAGATAGTACTAATACAGGGAGTACTAATACAGGAATTACTAGTACAGGTTCTGAAACGAAGGTTCATAGTAAGCTTAGAAGAATCTCGAATTCTTCAGTCTGCTACTATTACTTTATAACCCAGTATTAACAGTCGCATGGTTATGTCATCGACAAATAACCCGGTTCCTCCACCAAACCTTTCTGGCGAGACACCCAGGAGGATTTAAAAAAAAAAAAGACCTATCATATGGCGGATGAACCTCCTTGTAGGGTCTAGCAGACTAGTAGGCTGGGCTCCATAGCTATATATGTGGACAGTCCGGTGATGACACGACATGAAGTCAAAGGCCAGGACGTACTGTTCCCCCGATGGAATCAATGGCCCCGTTTTCATAACCAAGGCGACCCTTCATGTTGAATGACATCAGCTGTGGCTTGACTTGGATGGATCCGACCAGTCAGGTCTAAGCATGAATGAATGTCACACCTGCTTTCAACCTAGATATGGGAAAATAACTGACCTAAGGATTTGTTGTTGTTATGATGATGATGACGATGATGATGATGATGAATACATATTAAAATAAAACGCTTTAGTTTTTGGCAAGAATTCCATATACATATCTCACTGTGACAATAGATAATGCGTACGTGCCGAATTTCAACTCAGCCAATGTTATAGCCCTGATACATGTATTTTAGTATTTTTATTTTTATTTTTAGATCGTTGGGATGCTGCGGACCACAAGACCAGTAATTCCTTTAGGGTCGTAGGGTGTCATGTATACTGCAACCATAGGTATGTCGAGGACATTACAGTCAGAAAAGGACTTTCCATCTTCAGCCTGTTTTTAAATTGGAAGTTGTCTTTCTTCTAGACAGGTTACTCGAGTAAGAAAAAAAGTTCAGTTTTCCTTGTTGTAACTAGGGAAAGAGCGTTTCATTCCTTTTCCGAAGGCTATTAACTATAAATAAACGAAACAGACTTCGTCTGAATTTGAACTTGGCATGTCAATTCGATTTTCTACACTGATAATTGCAACACAAGGCACTATTAAAACACATAGTATAGAATCATATTTCAGCATGGTAATTTGGCAAAACTAATTAATCAAAGTTTGTACCTAATATATCCTACTCCAACGAATACCTGCATCTCGTTAGCAGTATTTCCCGAGATTAGATAAGTACATTGGTATTAACGAATAAATTTATTAGCAGATGATTGATTACGTACAAGTCAGAAATGAAAGGTGAATTGAAAAGAGGCGGGAAAAGCACTGATTTCTTCAAGGGATAATTAATAACTTTCAGGAACAAATCCGTTTTTTGCAATGACAAAAAAGAAAAGCATATTGCCAGGTAATTACCAGCCATTGAAGTAATCAGTGCACATATTAAAAATATAACCCCACCACCAACAAGCACCGCCACAAAAAATGAAATCAAGTTTATCCGTTGCAAATCAGTTTAAAGTTTAAGCAATTTCGTTTGGCTAACTTAATCTTTGTTAAACAGCCGGTGTTACAGCCAATCGATGCACTGAATTCAGTCGATTTCGTTTCATGGTACAGGATTTTATTCAGAAAAGAGAAAGCATTAAAACATGTTCGATTTTTTTTGAACTAGAACGTTTTATCTATCTTTTTTATCTAATTTTTTTTTATCGAACGTTTTATCTGACTTGTTTATCTTTTTATCTAACTTTTTATCTAATTTTTTATCTACCTTGTTTATCTATCTTTTTATCTAACGTTTTATCTATCTTTTTTATCTTTTTATCTAACTTTTTATCTATCTTATCTTTTTATCTGTTTTTATCTATCTTTTTATGTAACTTTTTATCTATCTTTTTTATATTTTTATATAATTTTTATCTAACTTTTTGTCCATCTTTTTATCTATATTTTATCTAACTTTTTACCTATCTTTTTTTATCTTTTTCTCTAATTTTTTATCTATCCTGTTTATTGTTTTATCTAACTTTTTATCTTTTTTATCTTTTTATCTAATTTTTATCTAACTTTTTGTCTATCTTCTTATCTATCTTTTTATCTAACTTTCTATCTATCTTTTTTATCTTTTTCTCTATTTTTTCTCTATCTTGTTTATCTATATTTTTATATAAATTTTTATCAATCTTTTTCATCTACTTTTTTATCTGTCTTTTTATCTAACTTTTTATTTATCTTTTTTATCTTTTTGTGTAATTTTTATATATATTTTATATTATTTTTTATATTTTTTCTTCATTATAATCATTTTTCACCTTTTCCTTCTTAATATTAATTAGT